CCGCTGGCAGCCAGCCCTGCCAGGCAAGGGTTAAACGGGGCCAAGCGGCTCCAGAGGCGCTGGGGCTGCTGCCACCGAGCTGGGGGAGAGGTGGATGGAGTTCTTCCCTCTCCCAGGGTGCTGGGATTCTCTGGCTCACGTGAGTATTGATGCTGTCACCCCAGGTGGGTCCTGGCAGCCCCCAGCCCTGCATCCCCTGGGGCAGAGCAGGATGGGGTCACCTGGGCTTGGGTGGGTGTCTGCAGCCTGGCTGGGGGGGCTCTGCATCCCTCCCCACCCTGCTGCATCCCTGCCCAGGAATGAGGGCACGGCTGCTTCCCAGCCCTGGGAGCGGGTGCGAGGGGTTGGAGTCACAGTCGCTCAAAGAGGCAGGGCTGGGGGACCCTGCTGGGGCCCACTCGTCCTCCTCCCTCTGGCCTGGAGCTGCAAGGAGCTCTGGCATCCTGGGGAACAGGGCTGGGCACCTTTAGGTGGTGCCAGTGCCACCCCATCCTGTGGGGGAAGAGGCTTGTGCAGCCTCAGAGGGGGTGAGGACCCTCTGCAGGTCCTGTTAGGGTTTCCAAAGGGCAGTGTGGTGCTCTGTTCTCCCTCAGGACATTCCTGAGCCCAGATCCAGCAGGGAATGGGAATCAGGGATCAGGAATGTAGGAAACCCCACACCCCTTTCCCATGGGAATCAGGGATCAGGAATGTAGGAAACCCCACACCCCTCCTGCACCTCCTGCTCCCCCTACAAGCCTCCATCATGTCCTGCAGGGAAAGAGAGATGGAAGGAGGGAAGGAGGGAGAGCTGGCAGAGGGTCAGGCCCTGCTGAGCCTCTCTCCGTCTGCTGCTGACAGCACAGTGCCCCAGGCACCTCTGCTGGCACCTCAGGGCCCAGATCCACACACGCCAGGCTCTCCGTGGGCAGCATGGCAGGGGATTTCAGCAGCACCATGATTAGCCTTTGTTCTGAGCTGTGCCCTTGGCCTCAGCCTGGCAGAGCTGGGGACTGTCCTGCTGGGCTCAGTGCTGGAGGAGGAAGAGGAGGAAGATGAGCTGGAAGCCACACCAGGATTTTCCCTGCATTTTTTTGCACCGGTCCTGCAGCAGCGTGTGGGGCACAGGGCTCAGCCTCACACGCAATCCCACATCCCTGCTGGCAGGATAAACCCTGGCCTCGCAGCTCCTCCCGGTACAGCAGAACATGACCTCACCCTGCTGGGGCCGGCTCATCCCTCTGGGAATGCCCGGGCTGGATACAGAGCCGGTGTGGGCAGCCAGGAGCATCCCACGCAGTGCTCCATCCTTCACCTGCTCAGGGCATCCCGGCAGCCCTGGGGCAGGCAGGACAGCACGAAGGGAACCTTCCCCTTTCCTTTCCTTTTTCCTTTCCTTTTTCCTTTCCTTTTTCCTTTCCTTTTTCCTTTCCTTTTTCCTTTCCTTTTTCCTTTCCTTTTTCCNGGACAGAGCTGGTGACACTGGGAGCAGGTTCCTGCAGGGACAGGAGGTCCCAGGGACACACAGTGAGCCCAGCCCAGCCCAGCAGGGAGGTTGATTCCCTCCATTGTAATATCAAAAGTGGAAAAGCCCGAGTGACTGACAGGGCCGTGTGGCTGGGGATCGATGGTGACACGGCACGCGATGTCACCGCTCAGATTTGTGCCAAATGGAGCTGTTTGCTCCAAATTCCCCCACACAAGGAGAAGCCAGGCCTGGCACAGGGAGCAGAAGATGGATGGTGGTGCTCAGGGCCCGGAGGGAGGGTGTTTCCTGCCCTGACAGATGATTTGGAAAAACAGCACCTCCCTCTCCTCACCTTTGGCTTTGGAAGGTGCAGATGTGGTGAGGGGACTGGGAAAGTGCCAAGATTCCATCCAGGCGTGCTGAGCACCAGAGATTGGGGCTCATCTAAGAAAGCCTGACAGCCCTGTCCCCCTTCTGGGACCAAAGTGTCCCCAAGATCCTCAGTGACAGGGTCCAGGTGGATCAGGAAACACGGGCACATCCCATCTGGACTTTCACTGAGCTCACTGGTGTCCCCAGTTCCTCTGCTCTGTCCCAGCATGTCCCTGCTCCAGGGGTTATCCCCTGTGTTCCTCTGAACAGGGGGGTTTATCCCTGGCATCCCTGGCTGTCCCCACCCGAGGCATTGATCCCTGCTGTCCCTGGGTGTCCCTGCCTTGGGACATCGATCCCTGGGCTCCCTGATCTCGGGGTTACTCTCCACATCCCTGTGCCAGGTGTTGATCTCCAGTGTCCGTGGCATTCAGGGATTCTCTGCCCCATCCAGCTGGCCATGCCCAACCCTGCCCCATGTCCTCTGGCCACCCCATGGCTGTGACATCGACCCCACTCCAGCTGGGGAGTTCCCAGCTGGATGAGTACCCATTACGAGCAAAACCAGAGGGAAGGGACCCAGAGGATCAGGGAATTCAGGTCAAACTCAGCCAGCACAGGAAGCAAAGCGGGGATGCCACACGGGAGAGCAGCAACATTTCCCAACCTGCCGATTCCAGCGTGGCTCGTTCCAAGCTGACCTTAATCCCAGGCTAGCACAGCCAGCGCCTGGCACCTCCTGGTGGCATTTGGGACACGTGTGACAGCCAGGCAGCGCCGGGAGCCGGGGGTGNGGCGGGAGCGAGGGATGGGGAGAGGAGGGATGGAGGGAGCAGCAGGGAGGGGCCAGGAGCAGCTGGGAGCCAGAGATAAAGAGGGAGGAGAAGGGAGACGGCACCGGGAGCGGGAAGGTGTCAGGAGATGGATGCAGGGATGGATGGATGGATGGATGGATGGATGGATGGATGGATGGATGGATGGATGGATGGATGGATGGATGGATGAGCAGAGCAGGGAATGAGGAGGGATGTAGAGAGGGGTCCACAGCGGTGTGGGGGAATGAGCGGCGTGCCCAGCATGGCGTGGGTGAGGGCCAAGCAAGGTTTGGGCTCCAGGGGTGCAGGAAGGGGTGAGAAGTGCCTGGAGCCACGGGGATGGGGAGAAGCAGATTTGGGATCGTGCCAGGGAGCTCCACAGAGCTTGGGCTGGGACTCACGTGTGCCAGGCACGAGGGATGGCACAGGCAGGGGGCATCGTCTGGGCACATGGGGAGGGGCTGGGAGGGCAAGGGGCTCTGAGAGGGCACACGAGGGTGTGCTGAGAGGGGAGAGAGTGCAGGGCCTGGGAGGGGAGGGCTGTGCAGGGCTGAGTGAGTGTGCAAGGCATGCAGGGCTGGAGGGGGCTTTACACTGAGTGTGAGCAGGGGGGGAATATTTGTACAGTGAAAAGTGTGAGCAGTTGGATCTGCTCATGCAGGGATGAGTGTGAGCAGAGTGGGAGTGTTCACAGAGCGATGAGTGTGAGCAGTTGGATTTGCTCATGCAGGGATCAGTGTGAGCAGGGTGGGAGTGCTCATGCAGGGTTGGTGTTCACATGCTGAGTGTGCAGGGGGTGCTGGTGCACAAGCAGGGCACCAATGCAGGTGCATCTCCAGGCAAGGCAGTGCCTGTGTGCTGCACAAAGGTGCCACCCTGTGCCCTGACATCCCCACACCAAGGAGTCAGCTGGGCACAGCCTGGCACTGGCGCCCCAAGGGGGTGAAGGGGCAGAATCCCAAGCTGAGCTCCCAAGGGCTGTTCTGAACCCCCCCAGTGCAGGGCCTGGCTCAAGGACAGAGCCCCAAATCCTGCCCAAATTCCCATCTCAAGTGCCCATATGGAGAGAGGGACCTGCCACGGGGTGATGCCATCTCTCAGGCTATCAACAGCACTGCCTTTATGTTATGTTATAAAATGTTATTTTGGGAGCTCCAGGGAAGGTGTCAGGGAGAAAAGGACACACAGGTGGGGCAGTGCAGGACCACGGGGATGTGAGAGCAGCCATGGGAATGAGATCACAGGAGGTGTGTGGGGTGGGAATGTGCAGGGTGAGAGTGCCCTGGGCAAGGTGTGAAGGTGGCCAGAGAGCAGGGGGTGCTGCAGGGTGTGAGTGCTTGTGCAAGGTGTGCAAGGTCAGCCTGCAGCGTGCAGGACAGGCCTGTGAATGCAGCTGACAAAGCACAGGAGGGACAAGAAAGGATCTGTCCCCAGCTGGGACAGGGATGCCACCGCATTGGGACACAAGCAGGAGCACACAGAGCAGGGGAGGGCTCTCCTGTGTGACCTGGAAAGGGGAAGAAGCTGCAGCCCTGTCACAGAGGGAAGATTTCGCTCTCTGGATGATAATTCCCAGCGTTTGGGGCTGTCAGTTCCTGGTTAGCAGCTCCCCCTCCTCGGAGCTGCTCCGTGCAGTTGACACCGCAATTGTTTTCTGAAGAGAACACGCGACTCTCTTCTTATGTATTCCCTTTCCCGGTGTTTGTATTTGCTTCAAAGTCTCCTCATCACCCTGTTTGGTGACAAAAACTCATGTCTGGAGATCAGGGTAATGTGTTGCTTTTCAAAGCTCAGGGAGGAGGGGGTTGGCAGACATGGGTTTGCTGCATTATTTACATCCCTGCAGCACCCTGCCTGCCTGGCAGCCCCCCCTCGGGCTGCTGGGACCCCTCTGTGACAGCTGGGACCCCATCCTGACAGCTGGGACCCCACGGTGACAGCCAGGACCCCCACCCTGACAGCTGGGACCCTCTGTCCTGACCACTGGGACCCCCATCCTGACCACTGGGACC